AATAACCATAATGACAACTAAATCAAAATATATTGTTTCATAACATTGAGATAAACCTTTACTAAAATCATGCATTTAATAACAGACCACTGGGTATATAACACCAGACTAAAAAAAAGAGTGAACTAACATAAGAAGAAGAAGAGGAATAAAGAGAAAAGAGGAAAGGAAAAAGGGTTCAAAGATGAACCATCCTACGTTTTAAAGAAACAAAAGTGTGTATGTATGTGTGTGTGTGTTGAATGATGTGAATGTGGAACGAATCAGAAACAACAACAACAACAACACACCGATCGATCTTTTAAAAAAGAGAATGAGAAAGTGTTGGTGAATCTAACGACCAAATATCTCAAGGATCACGGTGTGTAATATGCAAAACAGGAGCAACGGGTTAGTCAAAGAGAGAAAGAGAAAGAAAGAAAGAAAGAATCTTCTTCGAATGAATTCCACGATGCATGGTGACCAAGGTAGAGGTCGAGTTCTCTTGGTCGTATCCCTCTCAACATCCTCTTTCCTTCCCCCTTTCCCTCTACCCTCCTTTCCCTTCCATTTACTCCTCTTCCTTCTTCTTTTAACTCCTTCACTTCGTGATTTCACGCGGGAGTGCGTGAAGCAGAACGAAAGTGAACGATCCGAACGATATCCTTTACCTCCCTCCCTCTCCCTTTCCCCGCCCCCTCCTCGCTCCCTTCCTTCCTTCCTTTTTTTTCTATTTTTCTTTTTTATTTCTGCATTATCTTGCCAATTCTTCTACTTGTTCTGCTTCTTCGTTGTTTTTTTTCTTCTTCTTTTCTTTCAATTTTGCCTCGAGAACATCTTTGGTAACGGGTTAGTAAAGGGATGGTTGGATGATTTGGGGGTAAGGGGTGAGGGGATAAAATACACGATGTTTTTTAGTCTTTTGTTAGCAAGGTTGTTAAATGGAGAATTTGTTGTTGTTGTTGTTGTTTTTTTTTTATACTTATTTGATATTTTTATTCATACTTGATATTATTCTATCGTGAAATAATTTGTAACAATATTAAAATAAATAATTAAAAGATTAAGCAGAGGGAAACATAGATACATTTATAAGTAGTTTCATTCACTAGTATTATTACGATGCAAAATTTATAATTATCGATATACTTAACCGATAAATATCGATATTATTACTATTATAAAAGACTTGATAAGTAACTCACCTCCTCAAAAAAAAAAAAAATTAAAAATAAATATATATATATATATAGAGATATCGATTTAAACGTTTCTCATTGATAAGTATCGGCAGCCGTTGATGACAACGCGTTACGATTCAATATTATCGATCAGATCGAATCGATAGTTGATATCCATTAACAAAGAGATTTGAAGTAGCAACCAATATATATATATATGTGTATATATGTGTGTACGTATGTTCTATGTGTGCAAGTAGGTGAAAGGAATATTGCTGCTGGGTCAGCATATAATTAAATAAAAAACAATAATAATTATAATATAAATAAAAAAAATATATTTATAATATTATAAATAAATTAAATATATATTATAATACAATATAATAATAATAATAATAATAATAAAAAAAACTAAAAACTAAAAACAAAGCTAAAAGAAAAGAACAAAAAGAAATCGAAGAAAACGAGAGAGAGAGTGGGGGGGAATGAGTAGGAGAAGGGGTACGGCGACTAGGAGTGGGGAGAAAAGAGGCGGGAAAAAAAAAGAAACGGCGACAAAAGCCAGGATAGGAAGAAGAAGAAGAAGAAGAAGAAGAATAAGAAGAAAATGACCGCGTGAAATAATTGCCAAGGTGTCCGCAGATTAAAAGCCGTGACAGTGCTGCTTTCAACGATTACTCTTACCCGTAACGACGTAATTAAATCCTGCAATGAACGTTTGTGTCTAGAAACATCCTTTTCTATCTTTGTCTTTTTCTTTTTCTCTCTCTCTCTCTCTCTCTCTCTCTCTCTCTCTTTCTATCTTTCTTTATCGTAACGTTCGAAGTACCACTCTCTTGTTGAAAGTATTAAAAGCGATCATCGTAGGAATCAGTAAAACCACTCAAGAATTTTCTAACGTTATCGCAAATGCTCGCAACATTACGAAGTCATCAGCAACATCATGAGAAGAATTTTTTTTTAATCGAACTAAACGTTTTTCTTTTTCTTTTTTTTTTACATAAAAAAAAGAAAAACCTTAATGCATTTTCCCGATTTGACAATTGTCAATGTTTTATAATTGCAATCTTAGTTACCCATTCGATGGGAACATTGGTGGGATTTTAGTATTTGCGGCAATGAACTTTCTAGTTTCTAATGCCAATTAATAATAATAATAATAATAATAGTAATAACAATCTTACTACTTACCACTGACGTCCCACAATCCCCCACTTCCTAGAATTCTAGTAAAACAATTCGAAACTTTCGAACTATCTTTGGATTGTATTTATTTTTAAATACTCAAACATGGCCCTTTGATCTAACGTTTTGTAAAATTTCACGGATTTTTATTTCCTATGACATAATATTATTTATGGTATTTGTAAAATACCATTTATTTAATTTAAATTAAACCAAATTAATTTAACAATTGTTAAATTAAATAAATTTCATCAAAATCATAAAACACAATTTACCAATAAACTTAAATTACAATACGCAATAAAGAAACATTCGATTGGTTGATTGAGTGAAGTGGGGATAGTGGAGTGGGGGTAGTAGAAAGGAGGGGTTGAAAGTATAGAATACGATTGGTTCCGGGTTTTCCTTCGATTAGTTTCGATCTCGCAAGATAATTCATCCTATGAGACCTTACAAAGTGAGAAAGATGAGACCTTACTCAGACAAGAAGAAGGGAAAGGGGAGTCTATGGGGAGGATATGGGGAAAGTATGGGGTGAAGAGAGTGCAATAGAGGTCCCTGTGCATATCTTTCTTATTTAACTTTAAGAGTAGTAACAGAACCGAGAGAAACGAACCCACGCTGGCTGACTGGTTGGTTGGTTGGTTGGTTGGTTGGTTGGTTGGTTGGTTCTCGTATGCGTAGAGATAACGTATGGCTTTTGTGGATTTTCCGGTTTCTGGCGGCCGTGGACAAGGAAGGAAACAGGAAATGGTGTCCGGGGACGTTGCACGTGAGGTACATGCCCGATGAAAACTAGTCCCTCTTGCAATAGTCGACGAGAGAATTGCCGATCTGGCCTTAGGTTAACGTTAAGACCTTCAGGAAAATTTCTTACCTTTCAAATTATTTTGGTTTTTTTAAACCCAATTCAAGATTCTTTGTCCCTCAACCCATTAAATCGGCTCTCGTTCTGTTTAATATATTTTTTTTCATTCGTTTGTTTACTTAACCTATTTTTGAGTAATGAATACTTTTAACCTAATCTCAATGTTTTGTTTAAATGGGAATATTTTATTTTATATTAATGCTTATAGTGTTTCTTATTGATAGATATTATTAATCAAATTTCAATATTAATTATTTATATTAATAATTAAATAATTAACATATATAAATAAATAATTACATTAAAGTTTTTGTTTTATATATATATATATATATTTAATTTTAATATGTCAAAACTTGATGCAATAATTAATACATCAAAACCAAAATTAAATTTTACAAAGTCATATAAAACAGTGAAAGGGTTGACTAACGTTGTATCAGAAATAATCAAAAGAGAGATTAAATAAAAAGAAAGAAAGGTATAGATAATCAAAGGAGGAAAAGGGTGGGGATAGAAATAAATAAAAAAGGTACATCGTTAATTAAATAAATTACAGGATTTAGTTTGATATTATTAATCCGTTGAGTACAGGAAGTCATAGATAAATTTTTTGTTGTTGTATTTTTCCTTACCCCCTTCTTACTGAAGAAAGGATGAAGAAGAAGTAGGAGGAGGAATATTAAAAAAAAAAAGAAATAAAATAAAATAAAATAAAATAATAAAAGAAAACGTAGTAATAAGAACGTGGATTATAATTAGCCATCATTGTTAGGGTAGAACGATGGTGAAGGGGATATTTTAAAACGGCTATGTAATACATAGGTTGACCAACGATCGATCGATCGAAAGATCATATTTTTCATTGATAGGGGAGGAAGAGGGAGAGAAGGGATAGTTACGAAGGACTCTACGGTGTGCGTCATAGTCATCTTCTAACGCTAATGACATATTATACGTTACCTCGCGCGAATAATTGTCTCGTAAATTTGTCCCTTTTTTTTTTGTTGTTTTCTTTTTTTCTTTATATTTTCCCATCCTTTTCCTTCCCTTTTTTTATTTCGTTTTTTTTATTCTTCTTCTTTTTTTTATTTGTTCTTTTACTTTACCCTAACCTCGCGAGACAGGGTAATTTTGTTAACGTGCTATGAGACGATGTATATCTTATACCGATGGTTATCCACTTCGATAATATCCTGGATTTAAAAAAAAAAAAAACAGAAGATAATTTTAATCGAATCCATACTTAAATTTAAATTATATATTTATAATTAAATATATTATATTTTTAATCAATTATATTCTATAATACTTGTTGTACAGTAAAAGATATTTAACCAATTTAATTGTCAATTTTTATATGAAAGTTATAATTATATTAGGCGTACAGCTTTGGCATTCGCCATTTTTCTGTGAGCCATCTGTAGGAAAATAGTGGAAACAAAGTTATACACCTTAATCTATTATATTCTATAATACTTGTACAGAAAAAGATAGTTAACCAATTTTATGTTGAATTTAAACGATAATGTTTATAAAATAATCGAATACATATATTTAAATTTAAATGAAATATTTATAATTAAATATATTAGGTGTACAGCTTTGGTTCCGCCATTTTTCTATAAGCCATCTGCAGGAAAATAGCAGAAGCAAAGTTATAGCCCAAATATTATATTTTAAATCAATTATGTTCTATAATACTTGTTGAATTTTTATATAAAAATTAAAGTTAGATGCAATTAAATTATTGTTTAAATTTTTCTATGATTTTTATGTTACAGATACGAACGAGAAAAAAAGAAGAAGAAAAAAACGAAATAGAAAAACCGAATAATTTAACGAAATAGAAAGAAAATAAATCGATGAAATGAAGTTTTCAGATTAAACGCGAACGTGAGTATTTAACATATTATTAATATTATAATATAAATAAGTAGTTTATATATATATATAGACATATAATATACAAGATATTGGATATGTTTCATAGTATCGTAAAAGTTATTATGATTATATATTTATTTTATATTTGCATAATAACTTTTAATAAGTAAAATAAGAAATAACATACTTAATAGTATAATGATTGCAATTTATAAAGATAACAGTACAATTTATTTATTTAAAAAAAAAAAAACAAAGTTGATTGAACCTAACAAAAATAATGACATCTTGTAGTCCTGAATTTTTCATACAACTTTTTCGTTATTCATGAATCACCCTGTATATATATACACTTACATATATATCTACCAAAAACGATAAAGGGCAAAGAACTGATACCGCAATTGGGGTTTCTTAATTAGGTATTAAATTACCTTTTGAAACGATGATCATCAGTAGCTTAAATTGGTTCCCCATTTCCCTCACCCCAACCTCCCCTGTCAACATATACATACGTACGAAAAAACGTGTAAGATTACTATTAAATGAGACCACCATATAAAAAAAAGACTTCCACACACACACACACACACACACACACAAACTTGAATGCTCACAGATAAACAGGTGGCTGTCGTAACGCAGGCGTGCGTGCAGCAACAGAATGCACCAATGATCCGCAACAGCAACAAGAAAACAGTACACTTGAGACAAACCGATACGGTGCATAGTTATTCTCGGTCAGGTTGGTTGATCTAACACCCAGATCTACTACTATAACTTTAACCTAAGAAATCTAACTCTCCATTTCCCCCCTAATCCCTCAACCCTCATCCCTCACTCCCCCCTGTCCTTTTTTTTTTCTATACAACTCGTCCTTAGAGTTGACTCCAACGAGGACGAGTTTCTAAAGGAAGGGTAAGGGTATAGGAGGAAGGGAAACAACACAACCACCATCACCACCACCACCACCATCAACGAGGTATCTTGTTTCCTTGGTATGGAAATTAGCAAGGATCGTTTCTTCGAAGACGTTAATTCCATTAACGGATGTTTTCACGGCCGAATCCCGTTTCTACGGTCTTTCGTTAACTCACGAGAAGAAGAATAAGAAAAAGAAAAAAAAAAGTAAGAAGAAGAAGAAGAAGCCGGTAGTAGTCGCGTTAGTAGCGCAATAACTTAGTTCCTTTCCCGACAGCCTTTATGCATAATCCTGGCGACGGGAAAGGGGAGTAAAGGAATGGGCTAGGGGAGGGGGGAAAGGTGATACAGGAAAGGACGAGAAAGCACTCATCACCGGCCTATAATAGAGGTACGCGTTGAGAGTAATTGACGAGCGGGGATCGACATTGTATGTTAAAAGGTGCACCCATGGTCTCTCTCTCTCTCTTTCTCTCTCTCTCTCTCTCTCTCTCTTTCATTCTCTCTCTTTCTTACTCTTATCGGTCTCGACATGGAAAGAAGGCGAATTTCTCGCGATTATTAACGGGCTTCGTATATAGAAGTATTATACCTAGAAAATTGTTCCCCCTTTATTTCTTTTAGTTTTTTTTTTTCTGTAACTTGTGTTCCATACAAGTCAGTTTTTAAGTAGTTCTTATAGTGTGGACGCATATATGCGTCCAATGAAGAACAATTCGTATATTCAGTGTCACATTGTTGGTTTCCAATAAAATTCGAAATTATTGAAACGATGAGATTAAAATAATTAAATTATTGAATAAATTATACAATATATAAATTAATGAAATATTTGTAATTTTATATAATTTTTTTCAAATTGGAATATAGAATAATATTTATTTGCAATTATTTGTTATTTTTGATTTCTAATTTAAGGTATTATTATTTAAAGGTTATGTAGGTCTTTAGGTATTGTAAGATTTCAATAGATGGCACTGTATTACAACTCAATTATTTCAGGTTTTTTTTCCAAATTTACATATGGCGTAACTTAACCTTACTTTTTATATTAATATAGTTTATCTAAATCTCCAGGTTCTGTAAGATTTTCAATAGATGGCGTTGTATTACAATTCAATTATTTTTCAGGTTTTTTTTTCAGATTTACATACGACACAACTAACCTTACTTTTTATATTTTGTTGTGTGTATTATTATTTCATGTTGTTAATAATGATAATTATGATCATCGATAAATCTCGATAAAGAAGAGAATGAAAGAAAAGATTTGCTTATAGGTAATGACGTGTATTATAATAAACCTTCATATATATATATATATATATATATTCGTCTCTAGGTCTAATCTGTTCGCAATAAACGATGAGACAAGTGTAACGTGTCATTATAAATTAATATCATTTATGTGCATTTAGCCGATCATTTTTCGATCCTGTTTCCACGGTGTTTCATGATAAAGATCTTTCCTGTTCATATATGTGAATAAATTTTTTTTAAAGAAATAACAAATGGGGTTGCATCAATATATATATATATATAAGGATGTAGATGTTTGTATGTGAGTATTAGTTACGTATATACTCACGATGTTACTTCTTTCGGAAAGGATTTGGTCGGATGTGCTTATTCGAGCGAAATTTCACTCCGGCAAAGTCGCACACAGGGATAAAACCTCTTTTCTCCGGGCGTCCTTAACTCAGCGAGAGGACGAAAAAACGAGCATCGAGAAGAAACTTTGAAAGACCTGGGGTCGATGCACCTACCATGGGGAAAAGAATGTCCGAATCCGATTCCTGTCTCTCTCTCTTTCTTTCTCTTTCATTCTCTCTCTCTTTCTCTCTCTCTCTCTCTCTCTCTCTCTTATTCTTTCTTTATTTTTTTCTTTTATTCGATAAATATAACCAACTATAAGAAAATATCCTGCTGAGAATCGAAACGATTGAACTTGTGCAATTAACACAAGAAAGAACCAACCAATGAAACGAACGAATCAATTGGAAATTGGTTAAGGTGTCTAATTCGTAAATGAATTAACTAAACTTGCGATTAATACGTCAACTTTTTCGTAATTAATCCCATTCCTAACCTTAAATCTGTGTTTAAAGTAAAAGGAGAGACGAAAACGATAAAGGATTAGAAAAATAAACAAAAAGAAAACAATATCATTAAGAAAAGTTACATTATCTTGCTATAAATGCATCAAACATTTGATTGGTCCAAGTATTTCGTTAGATTTAGAACCGAGAAACGCCCAGATCCCATCTTTTACTCTCGTCGCCATTTTTTTTTATACAACACGGACACGAGATGGCCCTGCTGGAGCTCAAGAAGTAAGTAGGTAGCCACGATGGGTTTAGGGCGGACCCAAAGGTTCGGCCCTCGGCCATCCATTGGCGTGATCGACATTTTTTTCCAAAGGGTATACATATATATATATCTATAAATCAAAAGCTTCACTTCTTTTGTTTTTTATTTTTTCTTTTCGTTATACGAAAGAAGTAAATATAGAGTGAGTTTTGTTGAAACTTATTGTTCATACGTTTTTTAACGTATTGATTTATTTAGTTGGGGAAAGAGAAACAAATATCGTGATTTTACGACGTCGACTAGAGCTTATTGTGTCTTCGTAGAAACGGATCTGCATGGAGGATCCTTTCTGAAGGGATTGGCCCAACCAACGCGGGACCGTGCTGCTTGCCCTCCTCGTGGCATGATCCCTGACCCTTTCGCGACTGCCAGAGTACATCGTAACGCAGCGGCGCTGCAACTATGTATGTATGTACGTGTGTATGCATGCATGCATACACACGTACATGTATGTAAGTATACATGTATGTGTACGCTGACTGCGGTTGCCACGATGACGTTGGATACTTTCAAATGCTTTCTCGGATATACATAACGCTTACTTTACCTTTCGTAACGTGTCTTCCACGCCAGTGAGGTAAGCGCACGCTGCTTTGCGGAATTCTGTCTGGAAACTTGTTAGAGAGTAAAAATTCTTAGAAACCCGATCGACCTCGATTTGTCGTATAAGAAGTATAAGAGAAACAAAACAAAAAGAAAGCACATATAGAGAGACAGACAGAGAGAGAGTATTCTGGTTGCAAGGTTAGCAACATGTTAAAATAAAAACAAAACTAAAAGAAAGGTAGAACGTAGGCGTGTAGGTGAGATCTAAAATCTTCAGGACAAGAACGAAAAGCAAAGCGAGGAAAGTCCCACCAAGTCGTCTCTCATATACAACTCGGTGTACTCGTGCAACTTGGCAAAGAAAAAGGGCATGTGCACATCGTATGCGCGCACGCTTTTGCGCTTGCGCACGCGTACCATACATAGAAAGAAGAAAGGGAGAAATATATATCTCGAGGGTCCGTAAAGATCCTACGCCAATGGTAGGCGCGAAGGGAAGAATACGAAGGCACGAAAAAGAGTTTGCCATCGGGCGAACACTTTCCACAGTGTTCGCTGGTGCGCTCGCTCGCTCGCTCGCGCGCATAGCACGCGCGCGCGCGCGCGCACGGAGTTCCACGACCGCGTTTCGGGACAACAGCACGCCGGTACCCAACCGTGAGGCCCCCCCGTCCTTGGTCCGTGTCAGTGGCATAGACCATAGAGGGCCCGTTCAAGGTCGAACCGAGTGTTCACGAGTGCTCGCGAAATCGGCCGAGCTCTCCAAGCCAGCCGTCTCGCTCTGCTATATATCGTTCGGCATCGTTCGTATTAACTCGGCATTCTTCGTGTGCCGATTGCCCGCGCGACGCCGCACACGTGCGGGAGAGAGAAAGAGACAGATGCTAAGCGCAAGACGCCGAGACACCAGCAGTGGGGGAATTGATGGGAGACGATCGAGGGGCCTTACTTACACCGAGTGTCATCCTATACCCGTGGGCCTGCCACGTCGTTTCGCCGCGTCTTAACGCACATTAATACACGGTTATATGTGTACACCAACGCCGCGACACCGCTCGCGGTTTTCACCTACCAACCCACCCTCCCTTCCTCCCTCTCTTTTTTTTCTTTCCCCTTTTTTTCCCCGTTCTTTTTCCTCTTCTTATTCTTTGCCAGGTTTCTTTCATCCTTTA